CTAAAAAGAATTTATAAATATTGAAAATATTTCCGCTCCAAATCTTTAGAATCTAAAAGTCAACAAATGCAAAAATCCACAGGAATTAATTCTTGTCCAAAAACAATCAAGGGTTAACTTACACAAGTGTTCATATTATGTATGTATGTATATACATAGATTACGTGTGTGTGTGTGTGTGTGTGTGTGTGTGTGTGTTGCTTGGAGGTCTGATATGTAGAGTATTCAAGTAAAATTTCTTTGCATTTATAAGTTTTCGTAATATAAATCCTATCCGTGGAAAATCAATATTCTAAAGAATTAAAACATAATGTTTTGTTGATTTTCTTTAGCTGTTTATCAAGCTCTATTGATTATTTAATGCTGAAATTTAAATATTTTGAACACAGTTTTATGGCTTCAACTACAGATAAAATGTATTATTGGTAATTTTGATATAAATATATTTCTGGTAATGTTACCTTAAAAATTGAATTGTCCATAATTTTACTAAAAATTTGTATTGTTGGTATTTTTACTATAAATATATATTGTTGGCAATCAAACTATAAATATGCGTAGTATTTAGTTTTTGTTTGTGTATTCGCTATTTGTCCATCGTTAGGACTCTAATAATTGCTACTACCATGAATCAGAGCTCCAAGTTCCTTAAAACCTTAAATCTCCCGATCAGAGGCCTTGCTGCCGGATGTAGTTTATCGTCATACCCAAAACATAATTAATTTATTCCATTGTAGTTTAGCAACATATTTGTTATTAGGTTGTATAATTTTATTGTTTTATTTTTTTATTATTTTATTTATTTTTAATTTAATGTTTATTTTTAATTGAAAATTTACCTTGGCTTCAGTAAAGTAAGCCAATGTAATCTATGGCATGTTACAAATGTATTCACATTCTTTCTGCAAGATGAGTAATTATCAGGTATGTGTAAAATAAGCCGGGGAATTATATATGCCGTGTGTGAGACAATTAAATATTTTCTATGGCTTGGGCCACAGAAATAATTATCTTGTATGTCGTATGCGAGATTAATGGAAACTGAAAAGTTTGACAGAATGTTAAAGGAGTTTAGACAGAAATAGAATAAAATAAAAATAACACCAGCATTGATGCTATTTTTTTTATTTTATTCAATTTCTCTCTAAACCCCTCGACCATTAATCAAAAGATTCTTGCAAAAGATTGCCTGATTAGCAAGTCATTCCATGCGAATAAGTAATACCATAATTTAAGTTCAGAAAAATATAAAACTTCATGTTTAGTAAGAAC